ATAATAAATTAAGTGATATCCCAGTAGCAATGAGATCACCCAGTACCTAAATCTTGGTTTCTAAATACCATTCCAGGACTCCTTGGAGAAATGGCTGATTTTAGGGCTGAGTAAGGAAAAATACAAGATGGCCGGGCATGGTGGCTCACATGCTGATACATCAAAGTGCTGTAATCCAAGCACTTTGGAGGCCAAGGCAAGTGGATCACCTGAGGGCGGGAGTTCAAGACCAGCCTGACCAACATGGTGAAACCCTGTCTTTAAAAAAAATAAAAATAAAAGGAAAAATACAAAATAAGTGCAGAGCATCTTAACAGTTCTAGAAAAAAGGAGATAATCAGAAAACAAAATGAACACATGTACCTAGTTAAAATAACTCCCAGTGGCCAAAGCTGAAACAATTTGAGTAAAAAAGTAAAAATCATAGTATACAAATCAAAGTGTAAAATAAATACACAAGAGTCTATATGCCTAAATAAATAAATGATTGAATATAAATCAATAAACGAGGAAAGGCAAATCTTCCTTACAGAATTCCAAATAAGGTTTATAGATTTTCCACTCCAGAAGTTGAAGCTTAATCACCTATTCCACTTGAGTGTGAGCAGGATTTAGTGACTTGTTTTCAAAGAAGGGAATTTGGAAAGGGAAAATGCAACTTTATAGTGGAGTAACTAACAAATATTACCATGTCAAGTGATCAAGGTTGACCTCACCAGTAATAAGGTGTGCTAGTATCATGTATCCTCTGACATAATGTGATGAGAAGGTCATCTTATCATGTGAATGTTTTCTCCAAACCCTATAACCACCGTCTAATCATGAGAAAAGCATCAGACAAACACAAATCGAGGGACATTCTACAAACTACCTGACCAGACGAAAAACTGTCACAGATCAGAGGAGACTAAGGAGACACGATGACTAAATGAACGTGGCATCTTAGATTAGATCCTGAAACAGAAAAACAACCTTCTAAAACCCAAATAAAGTCTGGAGTTTAATCAGTAGTAATGTACAAATATTGGCTCTTTAGTTTTATTTTATTGATTTATTATTAAAAAATAGAGATGGGGGTCTTGCTTTGTTGCCCAGGCTGGTCTGAACTCTTGGGCTCAAATGATCCTCCGAGTTTGGCCCCCCAAAGTGTTAGATTACAGGCATGAGCCACCACACCTGGCTGGCTTTTTAGTTTTACAAGCATATCATGGTAAGTAAGATGATAACATTAGGGAAACTGGGTGAGGAGTAGACAGGAACTTTCTGTACTCTAACGTTTCTGTAAATCTAAAGTAATTCTAAAATAATTAAAAACCAAAAGCAAAGCATCCTGCTTACAATTTGTTTTGTTTTGTTTTTTTGTTTTTTTGAGACGGAGTTTCGCTTGTTACCCAGGCTGGAGTGCAATGGCGGGATCTTGGCTCACCGCAACCTCCGCCTCCTGGGTTCAGGCAATTCTCCCACCTCAGCCTCCTAAGTAGCTGGGATTACAGGCACACACCACCATGCCCAGCTAATTTTTTGTATTTTTAGTAGAGACGGGGTTTCACCATGTTGACCAGGATGCTCTCGATCTCTTGACCTTCTGATCCACCCGCCTCGGCTTCCCAAAGTGCTGGGATTACAGGCTTGAGCCACCACATCTGGCCCTTCCTACTTACAATTTTAGAAGCATGATGACCAGAAGATCTTCTCTAGATTAGCTTCTGGCTCAGTACATTTCAAACTCTCTCTCTCTTTTTTTTTTTTTTTTTTTTGAGACCGAGTTTTTTTGAGACGGAGTCTTGCTCTGTCACCCAAGCTGGAGTGTAGAGTCCAGTGGCAGTGATCTGAGCTCACTGCAACCTCTGCTTCCAGGTTCAAGCGATTCTCCTGCCTCAGCCTCCCGAGTAGCTGGGAGTAGGCACCCGCCACGACACCCAGCTAATTTTTGTTTGCTTGTTTTGTATTTATAGTAGAGATGGGGTTTCACCATGTTGGTCAGGGTGGTCTCGAACTTCTGACCTCAAATGATCCACCTGCTTTGTTTGGCCTCCCAAAGTGCTGACATTACAGGTGTGAGCAGGCACCAGGCCTTTTCTTTTAGGCGGAGCCTGGCTCTTGCCAGACTGTAGTGCAGTGGCGCGATCTCGGCTCACTGCAACCTCTGATTCCCTGGTTCAAGGGATTCTCCTGCCTCAGCCTCCTCCTGGGTGGCTGGGATTGCAAGCGTGTGCCATCACGCCCAGCTAATTTTTATATTTGTAGTAGAGATGAGATTTCACCATGTTGGCCAGGACGGTCTCGATCTCCTGACCTAGTAATCAGCCCGCCTCAGCCTCCCAAAGTGCTAGGATTACAGGTGTGAGCCACCATGCCTGGAGGGCTTTTTTTTTTTTGAGACAGAGTCTAGCTCTGTCACCCACAGTGGAGTGCAGTGGTGGTGGCACAATCTCTGCTCACTGCAGCCTCAACCTCCCGGGTTCATGTGATTCTTCTGCCTCAGCCTCCTGAGTAGCTGGGATTACAAACACGTGCTACCACATTCCGCTTTTTCGTATTTTTGGTGAAGACTGGGTTTCACCATGTTAACCGGGCTGGTCTCAAACTCCTGGCCTCAAGTGATCCAACTGCCTCAGCCTCCCAGAGTGCTGGGATTACAGGCATGCACCATCATGCCAGGCCTCAAACTCTCTTCTCCACTAGCCACATACATCTAGGGCCAGGTACCAAGGGACACATCCCTGTATCATACCACTGAGTGATATGGTAGAACATGTCTTTCTCAAAGGGAATCCAGCACCAGGAGAGCCAGCAGTAAGTTATGAAGTGGCCCAAGTCCAATTCAACTCTTTCACCCACTCAGATCCCAAAAATGTCCAGGGCCACTCCAGCGTATCTAGCATGAAAGGGAGTATGAAGGAAGGGAAGTTGGAAAAGAAAAAAAAAAAAAAAAAAAGACAGGTCTTAACCAATTTCTCTTTGAGGTATTGGCGCTTTTAATTAATAAGTAGAAAAGAACATATGATCACGTAAACTCAGTGCTAAAGTTCCAATATAGACTTTGGAAAGGGCTGGTGAAAGTCCGCGTGCCTAAAACACAAGCTTCATTAGTTTAGCAGTAAATACCCTCTAAAAAGATCTCAGAGGAAGAAAGGAGTGCCCTTGGAGAGAAAAGCCATCATCCGTTGATCCCACCCTTTCAGCTCCAAAGCTCCTGCTCTTTAATCCAGCGTCAGGCAAGCACTTGCTTCTCAGTTAGTATTAACTGAGATAGGACTGGCACGGTGGCTAACGCCTGTAATCCCAGCACTTTGGGAGGCTGAGGCGGGTGGATCATGAGGTCAGGAGATCGAGACCATTCTGGCTAACACGGTGAAACCCTCCTCTCTACTAAAAATATAAAGAAAATTAGCTGGGCTTGGTGGCGTGCGCCTGTAGTCTCAGCTACTAGGGAGGCTGAGGCAGGAGAATTGCTTGAACCTGGGAGGCAGAGGTTACGGTGAGCTGAGATCATACCGCTGCACTCCAGCCTGGGTGAAAGAGTGAGACTCCGTCTCAAAAAAAAAAAAAAAAAAGTATTCTCTAAGACATTCTGGAGGCGCCTAGGCCCCCACCTTGATTCCGTAATATTTGATCACGTACATTAAGTTTGTGTTATCTCCTGGTTAACCTGTAGGCTCACTTAGGGCGTGGCTCAAGGCTTTTAACAGTCCTTATACTGTCAGAGTAGGCCCCCAACAAGCCCTTGTTGAGTAAGTGAGTTAATGCTCTGGGTGAAGGAGGAAAGCCCTCACTAGGAAGATGTGTGCCACCCAGGGCCAAGAACATCAGAGTTCCAGTGCCAGCCCAGCGACCGCCGGGATCAATTGTCATGGAAGGGTAAGAGAGATGGCCAATCAGCAACAGCCTCTTCAAAGCCATGCAGAAATACGGACAGGCTTCCTTCCCACCCTACACAGGAATCTTTCATCACGCCTACGCACATTACTATACCGCATAAGTTGGCTATAAGTGTAATGATTATCTCACGACAATTTTTTAAAATCCAGAGTCCCCTAGAGTATTCAAATCTTTGGAAAGCACGTGCCCCAAATGAATCGGACTGAACAGACGCTGGAACTGAACACAATAAAGTTAAATACTTTTCCTTGAGGCACTTTGTTATCCCTGCACTCCTGCTCCGCCTAAAGAGAAACACCCCGGATGTGAGGTCCGCACAGGCATTAGATCTGCCGGATGGACACAAGTCCCTACAGCATGGGGTGAAATGGGGTCCACATGTTAGGTTAACAAAGGCTTTTTTTCCCAAAAAAAAAAAAAAAAAGGCTTACGACTCGCAGTCTCTTTCAAGATAATATACACCTGCTGCTACATTCAGAATGTGGGTCTTCCTAAAACCCTAGAGCATGAAGCTGACAAAAGCACTTCCCAGGGAAGGGCTGTGAAGGCACAAAGCAAGGTCCGAGCGAAAGCACACGCCCCTCGCACAGCCCCGCGCGTGCGCACACTGACTGTGAAGTCCCGCAGCTGGCTAGCTGGGCGGTTGCGGCACCTTCCGCCGTACCCCTTGTGCCCGCCTCCAAGCCTGAGGAAATAGCTGATTGGTCAGCCTGGCTCAGGCTCGGGGCGGGGATTGGCTGATTGGGAGCAACGCCACGGGACAGCCAAGCTGGAACCCACAGGAGCGAGAGAAGGTGCTGGCTGCCGCGCGGCGGAGGTGATTGAGGTTTGACTCGGAAAAGCGGTTGGCGAGGGGCTAGTGAAGTCAGCTCCAGGCCTGACGGGGATGGGATGCCCTGGAAGCAGGACAGGAGCTGAAGGAGCCCGGTTCGGGAACGCTGGGAGGCCGGCGGTATACTGGGCGGGTTGGGTGTTTGCCCCGCGGCCGGGAGGCGGAGACGCCTCGGCTGTGGGCGCGTGGGTTCGGAGCTCTAGAGGAGCGGAGAGAAGTCGGCCGACTTACCCTGACGGCTGAGACTCGCCCACCCGCCTATCAGCCCCTACGTCTCCTGCCCCCCCCCCCCCCCCCCACCAGCCCTTCGGTCTATCTTTCGGACCCCGGGTTTTCTCGCCGGCCGCCAGGCGGCGGTCCTGGGAAGACCGCCCTTCGTGGCGGCTCCCTTGGGTGCAGCGAGCGCCCTTCCCGGGCTCGGGAGGCCCGACGGCGCGGGTGCATCTCCAGCCGGCACTTCCCGGTGCACCCGGGAGGAGCAGTGCGCTCGTTGTCTGCCGAGAGGTTTAACCAGCTTCGCGTGGTTGCTGTGTCACTTTTGGCCTCTTAGAACTTCCCTGTGTAGCTTCGGACCATGACCAGAGATTGCAGGAAACACCAAAGGCAGGGCTTCCTAATTAACAACAGTAGCGTTTTGTTAGGAAATCATCAAACTGGAGAAATTGAACGAATGATATAAAGAATTCACTGTACTCATTACCCAGTCTCAATAATTATCAATACGTGGACAGACTTGCTCCCCTAACCCGGGTTATTTTGCGTTTTTGAGACAGGGTCTCTGTCACCCTGGCTGGAGTGTAGTGGCACAATCTCGGCCCACTCCCGGGCCCAAGCGATCCTCACGCTTCAGCCTCCGGAGTAGCTGGGACTACAGGCAGGTGTCACCACACCCGGCTAACTTTTGTTATTGCTGTTGTTTTCGTTTGTGAAGATAGTGTCTCCTTATGTTGCTCAGGCTATCTTTGAACTCCTGGGCTTAAGTGATCCTCCCTTCTTGGCTCCCAAAGTGTTGGGATTACAAGCAGAAGTCACTTAACCTGGCTATCCTGGGTTATTTTGAAGCAAATCCCAGACATGATATCATTTCAATTCTTTTACATATTTCCATCCCTCTGTCATGATTAATAATCATACATATAATAATTTGCTTTCTAGAGGGGTCAAGTAAAATAAAGGACATATTGAAGTGTAGACAGTACTTGTTTAGTTTCTACTACTAGAATTTAAGTAACTGCTACAGTGCAGTTTCATTATCTTGTGCTCAGGTTTTCAAAATCAGAGGTACCAGGTAATCTAGACAGTAGTGCTATTGCTTTTGAATAGTAATAATTGTATTGACAATTTCTATTTGCAGAGTTCTTTGTTTGAAGGACTGTGAAGTTGTTTGCACCTATTCATTTAATTTTTACAATAATCTTATGAAGTAGGTATTATCATCCCACGTTACAGTTAGGGGAAAGAAATTTGGGAGATCACAGTTTGCCTAAGGTCACACTGCTGAAAGGATGGGGGTTGGGAGTAGAATTCAGGATGCTAACCTTGGCCTTTGTCATTGCAAAGTTATTGCTCTTTTAGCATAACTGAATGTCCTAAGAGTTGTGGAATAGATGGAACTGCTGTGGAAAATTAGTTCTGTTAAGCCAAAATCCGTAATGGAAAAATAAAAAGTCTGAAAAGTTACACAAATACAAACAATAGTGAGAGAGGTATGTTTGTTCTTTGAAACATTAAAGATTATTACAACTGAATTTAATGTCCCGAGAAAACCTGGTTCGACAAATGCAAGTGATAAAAATGTTATTCCTGGCCAGATGCATGGCTCAGCCCAGCACTTTGCAAAGGCCGAAGCAGGAGGACCCCTTAGTCCAGGAGTTCGAGACCAGCCTGGGCGATATAGTGAGACATTGTATTAAAAAAATAATAATAATAATTTTATTTTTTAATATGTGACCAATTAAAAGGAAAAGGAAAATAGACGTCAATGAATAGTCTCTACCACTCCTTTAGCACATAGCATATAGTGGATATTTATACTAAATATTTAATCTATATCCTTCATCCTCCTAATCTTAAGTTACTAAGATAGCATCTTCATCCAAATAGTGTTAGATGAATAAGGAACTAGATAGAAACAGCTGGGCCTCCTCTACTTATTCAAAGAACAGTAGAGAAGGCCTGTTAACCTGGAGTTTAGGAATCCTATTGGATACGAGTAATTCAGAAGTCCAGAAGTCAGGCCAGACTCCTTTGTGAAGGAACTAGAATGCCACATTTATTTATTTATTTTTAAAGACAGGGTTTCACCATGTTGGTCAGGCTGGTCTTGAACTCCCAACCTCAGGTGATCCACCCGCCTTGGCCTCCGAAGTGCTTGGATTACAGGCGTGAGCCACCACACCCGGCCTTAGGATGCCACATTTAAAGAGATTAAACTTAATGAGCAAAGAAGTGACATGATCATTGTCATCTTAAAGGAAAGTCGATACAGGAAGGTAGCTGGTACTGTCAATGATGACTTTACCAGCCATGTCCAAGGATTAGCAGTGAATTGACCTGATAAGTATAAAGGAAATAGATGTGGGGAGCTGGCAAATGTATGGATATAAGGAAAGGACTGGACAAAGAAAACACCCTGAAACAGAGAAAAGACTATGGTATGTAGTAGGGTTTTTTTGTTTGTTTGTTTGTTTGTTTCTGAGACAGTTTCACTCCGGTTGCCCAGGCTGGAGCGCAATAGCATGATCTCGGCTCACTGCAACCTCTGCCTCCTGGGTTTAAGCCATTTTCTTGCCTCAGCTTCCCAAGTACCTGGGATTACAGGTGTATGCTACCACGCCCAGCTAATTTTGTAGTTTTAGTAGAGATGGAGTTTCACCATGTTGGCTAGGCTGGAGTCGAACTCCTGACCTCAGTTGAGCCACCTGCCTCAGCCTCCCAAAGAGCTGGGATTACAGGTGTGAGCCACCGCGCCGGCCTATAGTAAGTTTTGAAGTGATGATACACTTCAGTGTCCATGCGTTTGTTTTCTTGGGCCATCCTGGTAAAGAGTTGGTGATGAGTTTTTACTACATCACTGTTCTTTGAAGTGGTAATTACTACCCAGCTACTAAACTATTCTTTTATGTATTTGTTAGATACTGTTGATAGAAATTACACAATTTAGATAAGCAGCAAGAAAAATGACACTATAATCCCACCCTTTAAAGATAACCGCTGATGATGGGGGGAAAAGTGATAACAGTTTTAGTTAATGTTTATTTGATTATTGGACATTTTCATGTTTTATTTTCGATTTGTATTTCTACTTGTAAAATGCCTATTCATGTACTCTGCTTATTTTTCCATTGGACTTTTGATTATTTGCTTATTTGCAAGCACTTTATATTCATTAGGGATATAATTTGTTATATTAGGTTGCAGATAGGGTTCTCAGTTACATAGCTCTTCTCAAAATCTTCAGAGTGGCTAGTAAAATGAAAAATATGTCAGCTGGGAGAGCACTCAGGGCTGTTGTTTTAGGAACCAGAATATGCCACCTCTGAAACAATTTCTTCATTTATGACACTAAAGTTATTGTCAACCAGTCAGTATGCAGGTTATTTTTACCAAATAGTTTTGTGTAAATATTTTATATCAATAAAAAAAATTTTTTCTGCTCTCACTCCACTGGGTGATATCATTTAACAGATAATTGGTACAACTGGAGTTGACTAGTGTGCGTTGGTTTCAGTTAAAATGTAAACAGACAAGTTAAACAGGAAAGTTAAATTAAGTCTCCATGATTGAAAAAACATACATTGTAATGTACATATTAATATATATAAAGCAGTATAACTAAGATCTTTTTAAACCTTTGGTTTTTTTAGAGACAGAATCTTTCTCACTTTGTTGCCAGGTTGGAGTGCAGTGATGCTCTCATAGCTCTAAGATATTTTATTAATTTTTTTTCACCTCCCATTCTTAGTTACTTTTTGGAATGGATTTCTTATATACTAGTAAATACTGATTTGATATATAGTCGGCCTTTTGGAGTCATAGGTTCAGATAGAAAACATTTGAAAAAACAATGATAAAGTAACTATGACAAGAAACAGTACAAATAATACAATAGACAACTGTTTGTATTAGGTATTATAAGTAATCTAGAGATGACTTCAGGTATATGGAAGGATGTGTATAGGTTATATATAAATGCTATGCCATTTTATCTTTTTTGTTTTTTGAGATGAGTTTTGCTCTTGTTTCCCAGGCTGGAGAACAGTGGCAAGATCTTGGCTCACTGCAACCTCCACCTCCCAGGTTCAAGCAATTCTCCTGCCTCAGCCTTCTGAGTAGCTATGATTACAGCCCCTGCCACCACACGCAGCAATTTTTTTGTATTTTTAGGAGGAATGGGGTTTCACCATGTTGGCCAGGCTGGTCTTGAATTCCTAACCTCAGGTGATCTGTCCACCTCAGCCTCCCAAGGTGCTAGGATTACAGGTGTGAGCCACTGCGCCTGGCCTAATTTTTGTATTTTTAGTAGAGACAGGGTTTCGCCATGTTGGCCAGGCTGCTGGTAACCATCCTTATACTCTTACATGTGTGAGTTAAGTTGTTTTACTTTTTAGGTCCCATAAAAAGTGAGAATTTATGTAGAGTTTGTCTTTTTCTGCCTGACTTATTTAACTCCAGTTCTATTCATGTTATTTTCAAATGACAGGATCCTATTCTTTTTTATGGCTGAATAGCACTGCATCATGTATATGTATCACATTTTCTTTATCCATTTGTCTGTTGATAAGACATTTAGTTGCTTCCAAATCCTGGCTATTGTGAATAGCACTGCAACAAACATGGCAGTGTAGATATCACTTCAATATACTGATTTCCTTGAGATTGATGAGTGAGTGGTAGCTGTATTTTTAGTTTTTTGAGGAACCTCCAAACTATTCTTTATAGTGGTTGTGCAAATTTATAGTCCCACCCAAAACGTGTGAGGATCCCTTTTTTCCACCTCCTCACCAGCATTCATTATTGCCTGTCTTTTGTATTTTTCAGCCCTTTTAACTGGGATGAGATGGTTTTATAGTTTTGATTTGCATTTCTCTGATAATCAGAGCACTTTTTTATATACCTGTTTGCCATTTGTAAGTTTTCTTTTGAGAAATGTCTATTCAGATCTTTTGCCCATTTTTGATTTGGATTATTCGATTTCTTTTTCTGTTTAATTGTTTCAGCTACTTATGTATTCTGGTTATTAATCCCTTATCAGATGGATAGTTTTCAAATATATTTTTTTCCATTCTGTGGGTTGCCTCTTCTCTTTATTGATTGTTTCCTTTGCTATACAGAAGGTTTTTGACTTGATGTGATCTCATTTTCCTTTTTTTTTTTTTTTTCTGAGATGGAGTTTCGCTCTTGTTACCCAGGCTGGAGTGCAATGGCGCGATCTTGGCTCACCGCAACCTCTGCCTCCTGGGTTTAGGCAATTCTCCTGCCTCAGCCTCCTGAGTAGCTGGGCAAAGTTTAATTTTCAAAAAGTAGCATAGGAGCCAGGTGCAGTGGCTGGCTGTAAGCCCAGTACTTTGGGAGGCCAAGGTGGGCAGATCACCTGAGGTCAGGAGTGCAAGACCAGCCTGGCCAACATTGTGAAACCCTGTCTCTACTAAAAATATAAAATTAACTGGGCATGGTTGTATGTGCCTGTAAGCTGAGCTACTTGGGAAGCTGAAGCAGGAGAATCACTTGAACCCCAGGAGGCAGAAGTTGCAGCAAGCTGAGATTACACCACTGCACTCCAGCCTGGGGGACAGAGCAAGACTCTGTCTAACAAAAAGGGGAAAAAAGGTAGGATGGGGGTTGCTGTAGGGCTGACAGCTAAACATTGTGACAAATAAGGACATTTAAAAGAAATCATTGACAGGCATGATGGCGCATTCCTGTAATCCCAGCTGCTCAGGAGGCTGAGGCAGGAGAACAGCTTGAACCCAGGAGGTGGAGGTTGCAGTGAACCGAGATCGTGCCATTGCTCTCCAGCCTGGGCAACAAGAGTGAAACTCTGTCTCAAAAAAACAAAACAATATAAAAACAAACAACATTCATCTGCTGTCCCTATATCGTAAAAGTAACATTGACACCATAAGTGTAGGAAGGGCATAGTCTCAGAATAAAGGATGATAACTTTATTCTTTAATTTGTATTTTATTTATTTTTTTTGTTAGCACCAGGGTGTTGCTCTTTCAGGCTGGAGTACAATGGCGCAATCATAGTTTACTGTAATCTCAAACTCCTGGGTTCAAGAGATCTTCCTGCCTCAGCCTCCTGAGTAGGTAGGGCTACAGGCATGTACCACCATGCCTGGCTAATTTTTTTTTTTTTTTTGAGATGGGGTCTTGCTCTGTTGCCAAGGCTGGAGTGCAATGGCATGATCTCGGCTGACTGCAACCTCCGCCTCCCAAGTTCAAGGGATTCTCCTGCCTTAGCCTTCTAAGTAGCTGGAATTACAGGTACCCACCATCATACCTGGCTACTTTTTTGTGTTTTTGTAGAGACAGGGTTTCATCATGTTGGCCAGGCTGGTCTCAAACTCCTGACCTTGGGTGATCTGCCCAGCTTAGCCCCCCAAAGTGCTCTGATTACAGATGTGAGCCACTGTGCCTGGCTGCCTGGCTAATTTTTAAATTTTTGTAAGAAGGGGTTTCAGTATATTGCCCAGGCCGGTCTTGAACTGCAGGCCTCAAGTGATTCTCCTGCCTCAGCCTCCCAAAGTGCTGAGATTATAGGTATGAGCCACCACAGTTGGCAGGACAGTAACTTTCAATTGAGTGTTTTTTATTTTCTTTTTTTAAGTTCATAATCCTTATTTATTTATTTAGAGACTGAATTTCACTCTTGTTGCCCAGGGCAGAGTGCAATGGCAGGATCTCGGCTCACCACAACCTGGCAACCTCTACCTCCAGGTTTCAAACCATTCTCCTGCCTCAGCCTCCTGAGTAACTGGGATTACTGCTTCAGCCTTCTGAATAACTGGGATTACAGGCATGTGCCTGTACACCCGGCTAATTTTGTATTTTTAGTAGAGACGGGGATTCTCCATGTTGGTCAGGCTGGTCTTGAACTCCTGACCTCAGGTGATCCGCCTATCTCAGCCTCCCAAAGTGCTGGGATTATAGGCAGGAGCCACTGTGCCTGGCATATTTACTTATTTTAAACCAGATTTTATTTTTAGAGAAGTTTTTGTTTTTGTTGTTTTGGTGGGGACAAACCATATTTAAATTATGGCAGGGTTAAACTAAATCGCTTATATGGTCTGAGTGCATTGGCTCATGCCTGTAATCCTAAGACTTTGGGAGCCTGATGCAGGAGGATCACTTGAGCTCAGGAGTTTGAGGCTAGCATGGGCAACATAGTAAGAGCCTGTCTCTAAAAATAATAATAAAAAATAGCCAGCCATGGTAGTGCGTATCTGTAGTCCCAGATACTCAGGTGGCTAAGGCTGGAGGATTGCTTGAGCCTAGGAGTCTGAGGCTGTAGTGAGCCATGATCATGCCACTGCACTCTAGCCAGGGTGACAGAAGAGTGAGACTCTATCTCCAAAAAAAGCACTAGGCCGGGTGCAGTGGCTCACACCTGTAATCCCAGCACTTTGGGAGGCCAAGTTGGGAGGATCACA